AGAGAGAGAGAGAGAGAGAGAGTTGGAATCATATGACGATGAGGATAATGAAAAAAATATGAATGATTCTGCGCCATGGAATCAATCCCATCAATCATTATTGTGAAGTCAAACTAGGGTCAATCATTAACGACACTCTAGTAATTGTTGACCATAGCGGCGTCAAATATACTCATTTACTAATTAAAGTCAAAGTAGTAATTATTTATTCATTCATATCTCAAGTGGGTCCCACCACCATTCCCTCAATCAACTCTTTCTCGCTCACCAACACACACTCACAATTCTCACAACCTGAGTAACCGACCTCCGGTGCCACCTCCGTCTGCCGCCGGCCGCCGGCCGCGGCTGCACCGATGCACTCTCCGACACACATAATGCTTCCTCTACTCGCCGCCATTTCATCCATACACAGCACTGACCCCCGTGGACAACCCGAAAATCCATGGACCTCCGTTGGACCACCGCCAGACAACCAGGTGCACTGTCTGCCATTCGCCACGACGATCCACGCCTAAGTCTAAGCTCGCCGCCGCCGTCAGTCGGACCCAATGTAGCTCCAACCTTTCATCATCCCAGTTGCAGAAATCAGTCTAGCCATCACGGTGGTCCCGACGACGGCATCCGTTCATTGCGTCTAGCCTCGGATCGTGGTGGTCCACGGCGGTGGTAAGGATTGGATTGCGAGACAGACTTTCAGACTTTAATGAAAAGGACTTCATTTTGTAAATTTGATAAGTCCTAAGGACTTGATTGCAATTTCAGAAATTTTCACATATCACAATTAAGTTCATGGATCAAATTTGTAATTAATTAAACTATAATTAATATTTCAATATCCTTTGTTTACTATTTGAAAATATATAATATATTGCATAAAAATATAAAAAAATGATAATAATATTTTTTATACAATTTGGACATCTTTTAATTTTAGTTATGTAATTTAGATAAAAAAAATTGTCATCGAACCGAAATAACTGGTTTTTTTAAGTAAAGAAAGACAATTGATCCACAATTTAAATTTTTGAATCGAAAAAATTAATTTGGTCGATTCTGTTAGATATTGTGCAATGGAATAGTAACTAATTAATGTGCCATTCGTACAACCCTAATGTTCACCCGCTATACATAAAAATAAAATAGTAATATTAATACTATTTTTAATATTCTTCGGGCAGATCGATCATTTGAGTTATTTTTAAAAAATAAAGACGACGACGAACTTAAATAACTTTTATTTAAGAGTAAAAAATAGATAAATCGAAATGTATATAAATTTTCTAACCGAAATTTCGAGATTGGAAACAGTGGCAGAACTACATAGAAGACCGTAGAAGCACGGGTCCCTATAGAATTTTGTGTAGTATATATATATATATATATATATATATATATATATATATTATATGTCTGTATAAATGTATTATATGTCTGTATAAATGTGTAGTATAGAATTTTAGTTAACCGTATTTTGCAATTATAAATTTATTTATATAATAAAATGTACGTATTTATAATTTTTATTTAATATTATATATTATTTTTTTTTGTTGAAAATAAACCATACATATAGACAAAACTATAAAAAATAATAATTTATATAGCTGGGTTAGTTATATTATTTCGTTTTTTTCTTTGTTTTGTTTAGTAAATAAACTCGAAATCAGAACGAAATAACCAAATTAGTAATATACGTAAAAATGCAATGTTATGTTAATGTGGGGGCATTATGCTTAACACAACGTCGACCGCTCTTTCGTACCGTATCCTTGTGTTTTATTTATTTATTTATTTATTTTGCTGTTCTTGTATATGCCCTTGATGTTTCTAACATTGCTACAGAATGCTGGAAAGCGGGGGAGAGAATCAATTGTTTTTTGAGCAACTGATTAGATTTCTATGGGCTGAGGATTTATTTTTCTTTTTAACTTTTCAGTATATTGGGATGGTTGCTTTGCTATATTATGATATGTGAAATGTCACCTCAAACCTTTTATTTTACAGGGCTGACCCTGTCGATGACACCCGAAGCTACCCAAAACTTCGACCACCTTGTCGTCTTGGTCTGCAAAAGGTGCTTACATTCCTCAATGTGTGCTCCTTGTTTTGGTTTGTGGCTTTCAAAATTTTGATCATTAGTAAATTTTTGCTTTGTAACAACTTAACTGTTTAGCTATCAAAACTTCATTTATTAACAACCTAACATGAATTCTATTTTTTTTTTTAACAACCAGAAATAAAAATAAAAATGGGCCCTCTTCGACATGAGCAGTAGCTTGGAGATGGGTGAAACTAAGGAGTTGCTGTTTCAGAAGAAAATGGGATCGGCTTTAGTGAGAAATGAGGAGGAAGATATCGATCTGGATGAAAAGGATGATGATATTGGGCTCAAGGAAAAGGACTAGATAATTGCTAGACTCGTAGCTCCAGTTATCTCGGAACTACGATTATAACTGAGTCTCAGATAGCAATTATCTAGGTTTATGACACACATCACATGATGTAAGCTCTTCTTTTGCACACAAGTCTTTAGGAAATGTATGTGTTTCAAACAAGACATGGAACTATGTCTCCAAAATCACCTGTCTTTTTTATTCAACTGACCAACCATATTCAAAGAACAATGCTCTTTCATCATTTCATATAGACCTCCATAGGCTTTACCAAATTCGATGACTGTATCTCCTTCAGTGTCCTGCAACCGGCAAACTTTGTCACTGAAATAAGACAAATTCTCTTATTTGCGACAAGTTGTCCAGCTGAGAGTAGATTATACTTGAAATAAGGAACCAATAAAACATCTCTCAAGATAATCGTGTCAGTCAACCTTATTTCTCCAATTTTAGTCACTCTGATTTTAGTTTCATTAATGTTAGTTATGTTAAATATTTTCTTGTACAATAAGTTAGGTTTAGGCCGTTAAGGCCCTTCTATGTATCTTTATATATATGTGTACATGTCTTGTGAATAATACATATAATATTTTTCCCAATTTCTCACATGGTATCAGACTAGGTTTAAGGTCCAATATACACTTTTGCTTCGCCGTTCATTTACAGTAAGATCCAAGTCTCACCTCCCATACCATCGTGACCGGCATCTCCCGGCGAACTATCGGCCACCGGAAACGCCCGATTTGGCGGCGCGTGCACTTCACACGCGCGTGATTTTTGTTCCAGTCCTGCCGACTTCCTGCCGCGCGTGTGGACCACCTCCAACGCCGATTGCCGTCGTCTTTCAGCCGCTGACTCCTGTCGACGTCGGCTATCTTGTGGTGTGCTCGGATTTGGTTTTGGTGAACTTTCTAATTTTGGCATGTTACTGCTATTTTATCCGGTTTGTGATCCAGTTCGTAATTTTCTTTCGTCTTGGTACTGTTGCTGGTTGCTGGTGCTTCTTTATTTTTTGGATATGGATTCTTCTATGGTGGTCTGCCACATTTGTCATGTTCGGGGTCATATTGCTCCATTTTGTCCTACGGTGGTGTGCCACATTTGCCATGTTCAGGGTCATATTGCTACATATTGTCCAACCAGATCGCACCGTTCGAGAGGTTCATTCTATCGACATCATGGCTCTTCCTCCACCGTCACTTCTTCTGTTACAGCGGCTGTCACTACTGAGCCTCAGCATCCGTCTTACACTCTTCAAGACATAGAAGCTATTCTCAAACAGGTTATTCTTTCCAATTCTTCTATGTCTGCTATCGGAGGCAAATCACATTGGTATTTTGATTCTGGCTGTTCCAATCACATGACCTCTAGCCCACAGCTTTTGTCTTCTTCGTCTTCTGTAAACTCTTTACCTCCTATACATACTGCTAATGGTACTCTTATGAATGTTACTCACACTGGTTTGATTTCTTCCCCTTCCTTGCATCTTCCGACACATACTGCGTTCCTAACCTGACCTTGAATTTTATTTCTGTTGGTCAATTGGTTGACCAAGGTCTTAATGTTATATTTTCATCTTCTGGTGTTCAGGTTCAGGATTCGCAGACGGGACAGCTTCTCGGGGAAGGTCGCAAGACGGGCCGGTTATTTGAGCTTGAGTCACTTCATGTCCCTCGTTCTTACTCTTTTTCTACTTCTACCACCGATAGTAAGTCTAGTTTCCAGTGGCATCTTCGACTTGGGCATGCGTCTTCGAATAAAGTTCGTTCTTTATATAATAAGGGTCTTTTGGGTTCAGGTCATTTTGAGTCTTTTAGTTATCTTCATTGCAAACTTGGGAAACAACCGGCTCTTTCTTTTTCTGATAGTTTGTCAACTGCTGACAAACCTTTTGGTTTGGTACATTCTGATATTTGGGGTCCTTCTCCTGTTGCTTCTCTGAGTGGTTTTCGGTATTTTGTTATTTTTGTTGATGATTTTTCTCGTTTTACCTGAATATATTTTCTCAAAAATCGTTCTGAGTTGTCTAGCATATATGTTCAATTTGCTAACATGATTCTTACACAATTTTCTTGTCCTATAAAGGTCTTGCGTACTGATAATGCTCTTGAGTACAAAGATTCTACTTTTTTGAAATTTCTTTCTGATCAGGGCACCTTAGTTCAGCGTTCGTGTCCATATACTTCCCAACAAAATGGACGAGCTGAACGTAAACACCGTCACATTCTTGATACTGTCCGGGCTCTTCTTCTTTCTGCTCAGTGTCCTGATCGTTTTTGGGGTGAGGCAGCCTTGACTGCTGTTTATGCTATCAATCGGTTAAACTGTGCATTTCCCACATTGCACTCTGTGTGTGTTATTCAACAACCCTAATCTAACCTGTTCATCAGAGAGAAAAAGCATAATCAGCATTACCTCAGTAATCAACAAAATGGGAAAATGTGTGTGTGTTATTCAACTGCCCTAATCTAACCTATTCATCAGAGAGAAAAAGCATAATCAACATTACCTCAGTAATCAACAAAATGGGAAAATGTATGTTTCTCCTGTCTATTGTGGTGATAGATATTTATGGCGTGTTAGGATACAAAATTTTTTACTCAAAGTGGTTTTTTTTGGTTAACAAGAGTTAATTTGGAAAAAGAAGGTATAATTAGTTGTTAGTGTGATTTAGAATTTATATTAAAATAATATTTAAAATAAAATAATTAAATTTGATTTGATGTAAAAGTAGAAGAGAGATGATAAGAAGTGATGGTTAGTCAAAATTATGTGAGTGGATAAATAGCGAATTAAAGTAGATGTGATGTGTAAGAATGATTGGGTGATATTATTTAATTATATTGATAATACTGAGAATAGTGAAGTTGAGTTAAAGTTGAGTTATATTTTGAGTTAGAATGAAATTTTGAGTAAAAAATTTTGTATACAATCATGCTCTTAGGGCTTGATTGTTTATGAAATAATTTGTTCAAAATGAGTTATTTTGGTTAACCATAGTTCATTTTGAAAA